AATCTGTGTATCCGGTGAGAGACAGATCTTCTCCGGAATATATCAACATATAGTTTCTCGTTCTCCTAAGATACTTGAGAATACACTTTACTGCAACCCAATGATCTAATCCTGGGTTGGACTGGTAGCGACTGACCACTCCCACTGCATAGCAGATATTTGGTCTCGTACACAACATGGCATACATAAGGCTTCCCACGGCCGAAGCATAGGGATACCATCTCATATCTTCTTCCTGTTGTGGGGTCTTTGGACATTGCTCCTTAGAAAGATGAATACCATGCCTAGAAGGTGAATTCCCTTTCTAGGAGTTCTGCATCGAATACCTAGACAACTCTTTGTCTATATAAGATGCCTGTGATAACGCCAAAAGCTTTTTCTTACGATCTCGAATAATCTTAATCCCAAGAACATAGCTTGCCTCTCCCAAATCTTTCATTTGGAATTGGTTGGCTAACTACTCCTTTACATTTGCCATCAATCCCACATCATTCCTAATGAGTAGGATGTCATCGACGTAAAGAATTAAGAAGACCACTTTCTCTTCTTTCTTGTACTTGTAGACGCATGGTTCATCAATGTTTTGATCAAATCCATAAGACTTTATAGCCTTATCAAACCTGATGTTCCATGATCTAGAAGCCTGCTTTAGTCCTTAAATAGACCTCTGCAGTTTGCAGACTTTCTGCCTTTGGCCTTTCTCTAACCTTCTGGCTGATCCATATAGATGGTTTCCTCAAGATAGCCATTCAAAAAAGCTGTCTTGACATCCATCTGCCATATCTCATAGTCAAAATATACTGCAATGGTTAGGAGTATCCAGATGGACTTAAGCATAGCTACTGGCGAGAAAGTTTCCTCATAGTCAACTCCCTCCTTTTGGGTATAACCCTTAGCCACTAGCCTTGCTTTATAAGTCTCTACTTTTCCATCCGCTCCTCTCTTTCTCTTGAAGATCCACTTGCATCCAATGGGTTTTACCCCATCGGGTAGATCTACAAGTTGCCAGACTGAGTTAGAGTGCATAGACTCCATCTTGAGTTTCATAGCTGCTTGCCATTCTTCCTTATCAGAATCATCCATCGCATCCTTAAAGGTCGATGGATCCTCCTTCCCGTCATCAGCAGTGACGATTTGGGCTTCCCCGGTATACCAGTCGGGTAACATGCTTACCCTTCCACTACGACGAGGTGCCTTAGGAGTCTGATCAGGAACTGTGGTCTTTTCTCTGAGTGGTCCGACAACTCTTGTCGGATGTGGTCCGATCACATCGAAAAGTAACTCCTCCAATACTATTTTACTTCTGGGCTTAAAATCTATCATATAGTCATGCTCCAGAAAAGTGACATTTGTCGATACAAACACCTTTTGATCTTCTCGACTATAAAAGAAACCTCCCTTTGTCCTATCAGGATATCCTACAAACATACATACTTCTGACTTGGGTTCCAACTTCCCAGTCTTTCCTTTCAACACATGTGCTGGACACCCCCATATGCGCACGTGTCTCAAACTAGGTTTTTGACCGCACCACAACTCTAAGAGTGTTTTAGGAATAGACTTAGATGGTACTCTATTTAGAATATAGGCAGCTGTTCTTAGGGCATAACCCCAGAACGAATTAGGCAATGAAGAATAACTCAACATTGATCTCATCATGTCGAACAAAGTCTGATTTCTCCTTTCGGCTACACCATTCTACTGTGGTGTACCAGGTGCAGTCAATTGGAATACTACACCTTCTGCAATCAAGAAATCCCAGAACTCTTGGTCTAGGTATTCTCCCCCTTGATTTGATCGAAGTGTCTTGATTGGTTTACCTAATTGTTTTTCAACTTTTGCTCAGAATTCTCTAAACTTTCCAAAAGTTTTCGATTTTCGTTGCATTAGGTAAACGTAACCATATCTTGAATAGTCATCAATAAAGGTGACGTAATATTCGTAACCTCCTCTAGCTTGGACGTTTAATGGTCCACATACATCTGAATGTATCAGTTGAAGAGGTTCTGTAGCTCTTTCTCCTTTCGCTGTAAAAGGCCTCTTGGTCATTTTACCTTCCAGATAAGATTCACAGACCGGAAGCTCACCAACTTTTAGTTCGCTTAAAGGACCATCATTTACCAGTCTTTCAATCCTGTTTAGGTTAATATGACCAAGCCTAAGATGCCACAGATATGTGTTATTATCGTGAGAAATCTTTTGCTTTTTATTCTTAGGTTCGGCAACTCTGAACATTTCAGTATTAAGCAGTGAGTTAGGTATTGGTTTTATACAATATAAACCATCATCTAGACGTCCAGAACAAATATTTAAACCATTTTGAGAAATATGAACAAATTGATTATCAATATAAACTTTAAATAATTGTTCAAATAACTTAGCCACAGAAATCAAATTTCTACGAATGTCTGGAATAAAATAAACATTGTTCAAAACTAAAAATTTATTTTCCCTAAACTGAAGTCTAACTTCTCCCACTGCTTTTGCCGAAACTCTTGCGCCATTGCCCACTTTCATCGTGTAGTCCCCATCGGCTAGCTCGGTGTAAGAACTAAGACTCTTGTTC